GTCCACAAAAAACGTGTCAATATTCCTCCATACTGCTCGTCCATTCAGCTCGGCAAAGAACTCATGCTCTTCCTCAGCACTGAAGTCCTCAGACATTTTTCTTTTGTTGTTTCTTTCTTTGCACAGGTAAACAGCACATTTCTTCTTCTACGCTTGCATTATCAAGAGCAGACGCTGAATGCGCACTTTCATCTGGTTTGGTCTCCAGAGTACTCCAGAGTGTTGTTCAGCATGGGGGTGAGTAGAAAATGAAGGCTAATCATGTTTTGGGTGTACTATTCCTTTAACAATAAAATGGGATTTATATGTTTTTATATCACATACTAAAAGAATTACAGAGGAAAACATTAAACCAAACCTTTGCAAATCGATTAAGGATTCTTCCGACAGGTGTGGTGTCAAAAAAAACCATGGGAACTCTTAGGATGTTGTTAAGTAGTCGCAAATGTAGAATTTGAGATGCGTTGACTGCAGCATTGGCCAGGAGCAGTGTACCAAGGAAAACAAATAACCCTAAAAACAGTTTAATATGAAGGTGTACAGTGAAAAATGATTTCAATTTAGCAAAAACGTAAAATTTTGGTTAGAAATTAATTAAAGACATTCAGTTGAAGGTTTATGAGCCTTATGATGTTTAAGTGGTTTTAGGTCATATGCCTAAAATTAAGAAAATATCAAACATGTCGTCCATTTACATTCAAAACATTTTGTAATGCCATTTTGAGAATCATAATTGAACGAAAGTTCATCACTTGTATCTAAAAAGGTTTGAATAAATTATCTGGAAGCATGAAGTGTTACATCACTGTCATAAGTTTCCACCTTTTGCATTTGGTTTTCAAGGGTATTACGGATGGGTTGGGTAGCTGGAAGGAAAAGGAGAAACTGAATGTTTCTGCTTTTCCAACTGCTGGGCAGTTTAAGGCACCTTCATGAGGGTGATAGCTGCTATTGTTAAGACAGGATAATGACTATTCTCCTGTTGTGTAAACTGCTTCACATTTCATAGAAAAAATAGGGAGCTTCATCCATAGTTTCATTGGGACAGTCTGTAGTATGATTTATAAGCCCGGCTAAATTGTAAGGGGGAGGCAGTTTTTGCTGTGTGTGGTGCAAAAAAAAAGTGCATTTTGTTGTTACTGTAACCATGGAAGCTTTATCTTATCTATTAAATTAAATATTTTATAGAAAGAAATGTTGTTACCCTGTGCCATTCCAAGAGCACCAAATACCCCCACCCTGGTGTCTCTTTTCCAAGAAGGGTATGTCAGGTTGTAATAGTCCACTGCATCATTGGTCCAGTCACTCAGCCACAGGTTTTGACCAATGAAAGCAACACTCTGCGTAAAATAGATGAGGAGGATCCAAAGAGCATTTCCCCAGCCCATGGCCCGCACATACTGCAGATAGACTGAGAATTTAACCTGAATGTCAAACAAAAGACACAAGGGAAAAACTTACAAATGTTGTAGGTACACAGTATATTGCTAGGATAAAAGCAATTGTTTCCCCACAGATTTTTTTTTATTGTTTTTAGTCAAACTTATCTGTGTCTAATCATCAAACAATAGTAAAATCAGGGTTCGTACGGGTAGCCTACTGGAAATCCTTGAAAATGCTTGAATTTTGACGTTGTGTTTTTAAGGTTTGAAAAGTGCTTATATTTTGGATGAAATGCTTGAAAATGCTTGAAATTGTAACTATTTCTTTCGCAA